TTGTCTGGCGTGTAATTTGAGCATTTCTGGGGCTAAATGAAAATAAAAAAAGAATAAAAATAAAAAGACAAGTTGACCTCAGCTGTTCAACACGAGGCTGATAGCAGAATAAAAGGAGCTGAAGGGATCCTTCGCAGCGCTACAGATGGAGCCGAGAGGCTTCTCAATGCATTCAGCTAAGTTGGGTGGACTCACCTCCACACCTCGTTTAGGCAGCAGTAAAACCGAAAAATAAAAGATTCCACTGTGCCCACAGTAGGCAAAAATGTTGGTTCCTCTGTTGGATCCGCTGCAATCTGACGCAGTGTAAAACGTGGCACTGGAGTCACATTGGTGCGTAACATCGGTTGTATCAACTGCAGCACAATCGAAACTCTGCAGGATGGTAAGTCTCTGCAGTAGTGCCATTACAGTAATAGTTATGCTGTAAGAAATGCATCGAAGGAAACATTTGTATTTTGGCATGAAAGGAAGCTGTGACAGAAGCAAATGAGGCCTTCACGGTGAGGGTTCTGCACGTCTTCTTCCGCTGTAACTGTCCCTGTGTGCATGACAGCAATTCTCTCCTCTCCTGCCTCTTATGACTTAACCAACTACCTGTACGTGTTGAACCATTCCTTCTCCATCAATGGTTTTTTTCCCCAACTACTGCCAAGATGTCCCTCCTCAACTTATTTTTTGTCTAAACAACAAAGCAATCTCGGAGCCGTTTTAAGGTGAAGCAGATTTATGGCTCTCTTCCCTTTTTCCAATTCATTACTTCCATTCACGCTTTTAATAACGTACTGATGCGATTTAGGGCAATCGGCTTGAAGGGCAAACACTTCACCACTTTACTTGTAGCTAACAACACAACCACACTTTCTTACGCTTAAATAAGGGAGAATCGGAGCTCAGTTTCACTTACCAGTCGTCTATTAGGAGTTGTTGCGCATTCTTCTGCATGTCAATTAGGTGTCGTTGGTGAAGAGACTGTACAGTGGGTGTATTTGCAAAGTCGTGCTTTCCTTGCGCGTAGAGGCCAAAAGGCAATGAGGCGAAGGAGTGTGTTCCCATTCACACAAATTATTTAATATCACAACAGTTAAGGCATGAATGCATTAAGCGTCCGCACGTAAAGTGATCATTCCCAACGCCAAACGATTATACAGACACGCGAATGGCCTCAAGACTTCCCTTGCTGATAAAATGTTCCACCGAGCCACAGTAAGTACTACTGGACTAGAGAGACGATAAAAAGCAACTGACGCATTGTACAGTTCCTCAGTTTGCTCAATCATCGTCCTTTTAGCCAACCAGTGGAGTCAAAAGGGAACATCAAAATGAGTGATGCAAAGATTGCACAACTAAGAATATGCTCGATCCACTTCCATTGCAAGTTTAGCTGTCTGTAGCACCATGCCCAACTTGAATACTGAGTTGGTAGAGGTTGCATATAGTGGCCACCTCATGCGTCTGGGTGTAGGCACGCCGACGTCGGTTTAACATCAGATTTGCAAGAGGAAGCAGTTATGCGTAAAAAAATGTTTATGGCTGCCATATTTTTAGTTTCAGAGTTAATTCCCTAATCCCACGTCCAGAGTGAGTGCCGCCCACTTGAGGGTGCCTCACTTCGCATTAGTTGTCGGCTCACGATGAAATGCTTATTTTCTACTCACCTGCTGTATCGTGCCCATTTCCTTTGTGCACTTGCATGGATGGAGAGGAGGGAAGATGTGCTTCTGATGGGGCTTTACTCTACCAACCTAATATTGACAAGGGCGGATCGTGATTATGGTTACCTTTACCTGGACACCTCAAAACCACTTTTCCTATCCTTAAAATTAGACATCTTCACTCCTGCGTCACTGCCTTTCCTTCTCTCTCCTTATGAGCTGGTTCACCTGCTTTCTACCTGCATTTTCAAGTCTTGTCTGTACGTAATTTAACTGTGGAACTCTCCTGATGATCGACATGCGTGGTTATGACGACTTGCTAATTTTAAGTCTACTGGTTTCGACTGCTGAGTGGAACCTTCTTAAGAATGGGCTAAGCTTACTTGAGTCCCTGCGACTCATGCAGTGCTCGTTAACTAAAAAGTATCTCGTTAAACATTGCTGTGCTGCACTTGATTGCTGAAACAAAGGCGAAAAGGAAATAAGAAGAGCATGGGTGGGAGCTTAAACATTTGCAATTGCCCTTCCCAATTGTTTTGCACTTTTTGCTTACTGCGCAATGCTTGAACGGAAGATTTGTGTTGCTCCAGCTACTCCTAACACTCGGCTTCTTGTTATAAATCGACGAGTGTCTCTCAATGAATTTCAGCTCTTTGAGAAGAGTTTCAACTTTACTAGGCGTCAGATACTGCCATAGCTGTTTACTCACGAGTGGAGAGGTCAGGAGTGGTTCAAATACTTACACAGCTCCACCACGCCCTCATTCTCATTGGGGCAAGAGGCGTCGAAGGAAGGCGAGAAACCAGTGTTTCTCCTCAGCCACTTCACCGATTCCCGTCTGATAGTGACGATCCAAGCAGTTTCTAACGCCTGTCATCTCGTCATGAAATTATAATTTGTTGCATTTAACAATAAATTACGACACTGTCCAACAGACGACCACTTTAAGTCACGCACTGACATTCCTGCATTTTAATGTCCTGCATTGAGCTCTGCAATCAGTCTGCTAATAATTGCCACAGCATGAGACGACTTTAAGTGAGGCCACGTATATCGCACTAAGCGTCTTTCAATTAGTTCGCCATAATTAGAAATGGTGCTGTACTTCCTTCTGCTTCTTTGTCCGTTTGTGCAAAAGAGAAGTGCGACATCATTAACAAAGTTGACTCCTCAATTTTAATGTGACTTGATGGAGAGCATCTAACAAGAGCAGAAACAGTCACAGCAACTCCCTTTGCAACCACAAGAAGCTACTGAGATTGTGGATAAGGGACTTGGCTTTGACATTACTGAAAGATGCATCCTTGATACAAGGGTTGGACGAGGAGTCCACACCATTTTCAACACACACAACGGTCAACCATTCTTGCATTATGTCTGGATAAGGGAAGAGGACGAATGAATGCCTTTAACTAAAGGCATGCTGTGGCATATTGGTGTTCGCGTTCCTCCACATCTGCATTCTTCCTCCCCACTGATCACTCTATTGCTCATGTGATTGTCAACAAGTCTTGCGTAAATGCAAATAGCAGAGCCTGCTCTGCACAAAGTCGATTTCTCAACTGTAATGCGATTCCTGATGAAGGAATTGGCAGAGAATTGACCGAAAATTAATTGTTGAATGCTGCTCGAATTACATCTACCAGCATCTACCTCGCCATCGCAGCTGGCTCCTTCTATGGCAACACCTTCGTTCCCACCATCTACATTCAGAGCATGGTGGAGGGTGCGAGTCAGGCCGGGTTGGACTACGTGTTCGCGAATTTCGTGGGAATATGGTTGGCGTCGACAGTCATCTTTGTGCTGTATGCTGCCTTCAAGCGTAACCAGCCGTGGTTGCCCGCCAACCAGGCCATTTTGCCCGCTCTGCTGAGTGGCGTGCTGTGGGGTGTGGCACAGTCCTCGTGGTTCATCGCCAATGCTGCTCTGGGTGAACCCATCACATTTCCCGTCGTCACGACATGTCCGGCCGTAATTGCCACACTGGTGGGTGTGATTATCTTCAAGGAAATCAAGGTTGGTTTGCACCCTACCCAATTGTTGTTGCATTACTGACCGCCCTCCCTCGTTAACCCACAGAGATGGCAAGAGAAACTTTACCGCCTTCAAATACGACAATGCGTGGTACCTTCCATGCACTGTATCAGTACATGTACCTTGTGAAATTCTGCAACTAAGTTGTCCTCTACTGTAAATCTGGTGTGCAACAGGTGAGTGCATTTTTATTTTCACTAATTTGTTAGTTTTGGTTTAGGTCAATGCGCTAATGACGGTGGTCGCGATTGTGGTCGCGTCAACTGGATGCCGCATATTTCGGTGCAGATCTCGACAACTCAGGAACTTATCACCTGTGTGGTTTTGTTTGCAAGGAAAAACTGTAAAATGCAAGTGGAAGTAAGCTAATGGCAGTCTACATAACATTTTGATCAATTTTATGTTGTCTTCTTTACAAAAAATTGCAATGAATTTCAAGTGATTTGCTTTAACTCCTCTCCAACATATCAAAAATTAAAGCTAAAGTTGGTGGTGTCATAAAGTAAATCCTCCTGTAAGACAAACTTTGTTAGAATGTGATGAATAAAAATAGATGTCGCACCTTCAATGCATTACGTGAATATTTAAGTTGGGTGACTAATCAAAAAGAATCTCCAGTCCCTTTAAAAGAAAAGGACATAACCTCAAAACAACTACGTAAATCCTCTCCGTCTTCTTTCCCACTCTTGTCCTAACTTCACTAAGCTGAAATTTTCTAATGTTAGAGGGGATTGAAGTAATACACCCTCTCCGGCCAGCGGTGTGGCAATCTGAGTAGCGTCAAGGTTAATTTTGTTTGTGTTACCTTCAACAAAGTTCCACAAGAATACACTTCGGTTACGAGGTTTGAAATCACCTATGCCATTCCACTTTATTCCTGTTCGGTTGAGGCGAGTGAGTGGGACAGTCATGACAATAAAACTGGTCATTGCATTGGAGTGTGGTGTAGTGCACTTCACTACATTTTGCTTTCAACTATATATTAAAAAGGCATTAAGTTGGACTGAAAATTTATGTTCGAGGAGGTTAAAAAAATGCTTGGCAATTGGCACAAGAATAATGCTAATACACAGGTATTTGCCACGCATAATCCCTCTCTTCTTTGGAGCGACATCCGCAGACTGCCAAAAAATATCCACTATGAAAACTGTCGTTTTGAAGAAATCCGAGGCTTCACAAGTGTCGGCGCCGTATAAATGTTGTATGGATGGTGCTATGGGGGCTTCACTCTTCTTACTCATCCGGTGGATTGAGTTGACTTTCAATTTTGACTGTAGAAGGCAGCAGCCACTACTTGTCAAACCCAAAGCTGTACAGAAGAATTGCCGTTAATTACTCGTAAATTCAACTTATTCAATTTGCTTGATGGTTGCGCTCAACATCAGACCCCATCATTGGATGTGAATATCATATTTTCTTGCATCCTCCTCATGTTTGTGCATTTTTAGGGAGTTTGATCAGCATTCTGCCTTTTTTCGGGCTCCTCCAACTTTGCCCTTACTTCTGCACTTCGACACAGCATCTCTGACAAAGGCCAGTACAGTGAAAAAATTGTTTTTCCTCCGACATAGGAAATATGAGGAAGAGGGACATTTTAGATCTGTTGATTAGTCATATTTTTTCTCTCCAATGAGGCAAAGGTGAGAAAAGCAGTAACGGCAGTAGACTGATGCCACCTTCTAATCATGACCGAGACGGAGGTGTAGAACTGCTCAACGCACTCCATTTTGTTACGCTGCTTTCACTTCCCAATTGAAATGCAATGGTGGATGGTGGAGGTGGACCCAAACACTGCGACTCCTCGTCGTGCTACCCGCCACACCAACACTGGCAATCGGCAAAGTGCTCCAAGACTCATCACATTATGCCAAGAACTTGTCATAAGTGCGGGAATTCGATCCTAACTTTGCTTTCTACACCAATACAATTGTCATTGTCGATGTCCGTTAGGTTGCACGACATTTTTAACATTATTTTTGTTTTGTGATGATTTGTACGCTTATGGAAAGCCTTTGAACACCACAATAACACTAAAAGAGACCAACAATTGACGAGATCTGATCTGCAATGTCAGCTACGTGTTTGCCTGGGAAGCGGAGACTGTGGGTGTCGCTTTGTCCTGGAATTTTGAGTTTTAATGAAGAGAGAAGGAGGAGACAGTCAAGATTGCGGCTCATAACAAATCCATTACACGACGCTTATGAGGTAATGGCAGCACGACTAACATTTTATGAAGAAATAACAATTGTCTCCCGCTTTTCTCATCTCCACACTTGCGTGTTTATGGGTCGGTGAAAAGAAGACGTCTGTTGATACTACGCCCCGCCCAGGGAATGCAGACTTCTCGTCCTACTTTATGAGTAGCATTAAGTTGGCAACCACCGAATGTTCAAGCAATCTTTGCTGCTCTGTTTATTGTCACTGTCGTTTAAGGTTTAAAAACACATTCGAGACGGTGAGGCGGCTGCTCGGTACTCACATGGGAAGATTAAATTTACAGTCTGAGAGCTGAGGTGTTGCGTGCATGCAAGTCAAGTCGACTCTGCCCTTTTAAACGATCAACGAATGCGACAATCCATTATCTTTATGATTAGCTGCAAGAATTTTGCTGCCGAAACACCTTCACTTATTTCACTCGACAGAGTCACGCACAATTCCATTTCGTCGTTGCTCCTATTAATTACTTTTATGCATTAAATAGGGGCGTCAACGCCGATTGCTTACTTATAAGTTACACTTCCTCCATTCTCCGGCAGACGCCTTCAACGCACTTGCAATGCTTCAACTCGCCTTACTCATCCTCTTGGCCACCCTCAGCGTCTACAATGCGGATGCTAAGATGCCAAGTGAACGCTACCTTCTCACCATCTACACCCTCATCGCCGACCCCAACTGCTCCCTCGACCTCATGGCCATCTACAATTTCACGCACAGCGTTGCCGCAGCTGCTCGCTTCGTGCGATCACTGATGCCGGCCAACAGTGACACGTTTTTCTTTGTTGTCCTGGAGTACGTGTGGGTGCCTGGCTGCTCAATGCATCAGGCTAAAAGAAAAGGAGCAATCTTCCAGATTCTACAAAGTATTCAGGTTTGGTACTGATAGGCTATGCATACCTTCACCTCATCACTCACGCACCACACGTCGTGGTAATCTGTCTAACCAAAGATCAACCACTGTTAACAGATCACTGAATAATCCTGCGTCATCTTACTCTCGTTGTTTGGATCCTTGTGGCCCTAAATTTTCTCCTTCTTGTTGTTAGTGTGTTTACTCTCTACAACAAGTGGCACAGTCTCATACACTTGCTTTCTTTCACTTCTAGCACCACTAACAAGAGTTCTTGCCGCGCAACCTAATTATCCCGCCTTCTAATTACAACCGGTTTGGTTACTATTCGTTACATGCACATCTTAAAACATTAAAAAAGAATTAGTAATTGTCGAATTCACTGAACCAGTTTTGTTTCCATGCCTCTTTTCTAAGCTGTAGCACTTCATTGTACAGCTAAGGGTGTTAATCTACGATAGCTGCAAAAGAAAGACCGTTTTCCATCGAAACACCTACTTGGACAGTTGATTTTGGATGTGGGGGCAAATGAGCGCTTACCGTCGAACGAGTTGCCTCCTCAACACAATCGTGTAGACTGCATTGTTCAGACCGTCCACCTTTTGCAGTTCCACCGTCTACATCAGGAGTGATAGGGTAGATTGCCCTCCAGTAGTGAGATTTTGCAAGGCAATTTCGCGTGTAATATTGTAGTGTTGAGCAAGTTGAAATTCCCTCACTCATAAGTGGCTTGGAAAATTATGGAAACAAATAAAACCACTCTGACATCTCTCTCCAGAGACAGTCAATTTGGGGTGTGGAGGCAAAAACCAGTTGAGTTTGCTGTACACTCTCACCTTCATACCATCGTAAGGGCATTTGACAAGACTTTAAGCTAAGACTAAGCATATGTGAAACATTCGCTTACTTTCCGTCACTTGATGAGGTTGTTCTCTGCAACTCCTTCTGAACTCTTCCTTTTACCTTCAAACAAGTGATACACGCATCAGTAGAAGTGGCATCGCAATTCACACACAAGTCTAAAATAGTGTTTTGCATTTGCAGAAAAATGCGTCAACATCAGTTGGGTTCAGCGTGTTGCTAGGACCTCCCTATTCTAGTGATTGCAACTTGGTGAACGAGTGGATCAACATTGGCAATCCGAATGCTGTCCAACGGGCTCAACTCTACCAAATTGGTTACCACTGTCAAATCTTAAGTTCCACATCTGTGTTTGACACCTACCTCACTAATAACGCCCCGCGTACACTTCCTCCACCCATTGCTGCAGTCTCCTCGGTAGTTCAGCGCAAAACGATTCTACAAGGCATTCTTGTCTACCTAATCAATAATGGCTGGATACGCATCGCAGTGTTTTACGATATGCACGCCACCGTCCTTGACCTTCCAGAAATGCTAGATTCAACCTTATCGACACTTCGTCTTTCATCAAGCAAGCACCATGTGCTTGACCTCTTGACCAGTGTAGGTTTCACAGCAGCGGCAAACTTTTCAAGTTTAGTGGAGCCACTGCAGGATCAGATGGACGGTGAGTAGTCACTTTTCTCCCTATGGAAGTCACAATGTGCTCATCTTATTCTCCTGCCTGAAATTTTTCTTCAGTGGCACTGGTATTAGCAAGGGCAGATCTAGCAGTAAAATTTGTAGTGAGCATTCAAAACTTGACCTGCATCAAGCAAGGACGAATAGCAATGCTTCACTTGGATCCCATGGATATGCTAACTTACGATGTCTTGCGTGAATGGAGGTTGCAATTGTTGCAAGCCGAAGCTACTTGGGCAGCTGGTCGTTCCCTCATCATTGTCACTGCACTTCCCAAGGGCACTCGATACGAAGAGGACTCAGTGCTGTATAGGGAGGTAAGTTGCGTTTTCATTTTCCCCTACCTCCATACGTCTTCCCCTCAGGTGACACTGTCGCACACACACAAAATTGTCCGTTACTTTCTTAAGACAATAACCTCCCAGTGACGCAGCCCACATTGTAGTTTACATAGTTGTGCAACGAGATGCCTCATTTAGATGAGAACGCTTTCACATCTCTTTGCAGCACGCACTGCCACTTTTGTCTACCAACGCCTACCTTACAAAGCCATTATACCACTACAATAGTGAGGTAATTGAGAGGCATTTAATTTGAGGGAAGCTAGCCACATCATTTGAAAGCGGTATATTATGAGACGCCGCCATGAAGGATGTGAGAGAGGACAAGACTTTAATGCCACGTCTTTTAATGTCTTCACTGTCTCATATAAAGTTTGACAAAGATGCTGTGCGTGCGACCATGGAGGGAACACGTGCACCAATCGCTGCCTTTCCTTGTCTGTAGCCAATCAATTTATCAGTGGCCGGTGGGGCAGCGTTGGCAATGCGATTGGTACAACTGCACCTGGAAGAGGGCAGAGGCAAAATCGATCCCTCCACTGCCCTCTTCCGACCTCTGCGCACTTCCTCAAGTATCCAAGTGCCCACACTGCCCTCCATCACCTTTCACTACCAACTTGGGGATGGTGATGTCTCATATGGCATCTTTGATCTTCTCCTTTTCGCCCTCAAGCCTAATGCTACTGAAGTGAGTGGTGTTGAAGCCCAAGCTATGAGATGCGCAGACATCTTCTACCTCGTTGATGTCATTCATTATCCACTGATATTGCCTCAGCCGAGGAGTCCAATGAATTGGCCAGGAGATGGACAGGGACCTCAACGCACAGCCTACTTATCTCAGCCATTGGCCTTCGGTATGTGATGGAGCTTAAGCAGATTTGTCGCCTCATTTTTCCCCCCTTTCACCTTCCTTTCAGAGTCACTGCAAGCCATACTATTCATAAATGCGTTTGGATTGTTAATTTCTGGGCTCATTTACTTGGGAGTTGTGCTTGTCTTCAGGTAGGCTGATATGTGCACCTTAATTAAGGTGATTTTATTTAGACGAATCGTGCGCAAGACAAAGCGCTTTGCCTCCTTCAAACTAATCTTCCTACAAAGCGATTTTTTGTTTAAAGATGATGATGACAACCTTCGTGCAGAGCAATGTCATGAGGTGAGAGTGGCTTGGAAGGTACAAATAAGAGGGAAGAGATTCCTGAGAATTATCCTTTTTACTTATTTTTTTAGCCTCATCGTAACTTGCAGTTGCAGGTGGATGTAGTGTCGACATCGGATGTCGTGAACTCCTACCATGCACTTCTGTCTACCCCTAGAGTCTCGATTACGGCATCGAGCATAAGCGAAGAGCCTCTTCGACGTGTACGGAAGGGAAGAATTGCTATATTAAACGTACGTTCTGTCCATGCTGTTTAGGAAAGGTGTTAAAAAGGCGCTTTGGCTTTTAGCCCATTAAAATGGTAGAAGCTTGAGGCGTAAAGCCGATTGGTGCGAGCTCAAGTCTCTGCACGTCTGTGAACCGAGCATTTAAGCACATTATGTGAAGAGGAAGTGCTCAGTCCTCGTAGTCGGCCAAGTTAGACCTTTTGACAAGGGCTTTTATCTATAATCGACTGTTTAAACATTTTTTGACCTCGTAGACTTCGCTCTGTTACGAGCATTGTCTACCTGCAGCTTGCGCACAGTAACTGGGCATTGCCACTTTTAGCTCCACTTCTCTCCTATTCTAGCTTTCCTCCCACAAAACAGAATAGAATGTAGCAAATACGTCCTGATGCGATTGAGATAATGCACAACCCCTCCCATCCTTCAATGCAACCACTTTAAATAGACTTGTGATAAATGATATTGACAATTATATTGAATACTGCGTTTCTTCACTTTCAAGAGTCAACCTTATTGAGCATCTGGACCCATCAGCCATGGTTAAGGCGACATGTCAATCAAGTGAAGGCCTCTTTTTTGCAGTTTGCTACCCATCCAAACCCACCCTCACTTTCACCCTCTCGCCCATTAAACACATGCACATGCTGACGCTTAATTAGGGAGCGAGGAAAGCGGGATCGCCGAATGACGGTGGTGTGGCGAAGCTGTGGGGCGTGGATTGGCTGTCTGAATACCACTCACGTGCCAGCAGTTCTCCATACAGCACTTTGCTTCATATCGTCAGTGGTCCTTTAAACTACTACCATCGTGTGTCAGTAGTATGAGCTTTCAATTATTTGATTACAAGTGTAGAGTTGGCTGTTAGTGCGGTGATGACAAAATTAGCATGTGCAAAAAAACATTGCACCATACCGCCACCCTAGCAGATTTCCACTTTTGTGCGCTGATGGTGGACTCTACCAATTTGGAACGCACTGATTTCTACCTCTCATGCAATGAAATAAATGCTACCGTTTAGACTGTTGTAGCTTCAAGTGCTGGTGTCTGACCTGCTTGGATTATTGTTTCAGGGAGCTCAAGTTTATGTGAAGGAATTGGGCTTGTCTCGCATTCTTTTACGCTCACGATTAATTGAGCACCTGGCAGGATTGCGACAACTGCGACACGAAAATATAAACGTTTTTGTGGGTTGCTGCGTGACACCGGACACCCTCAATCTTGTATACGATTACTGTCAGCGCGGAAGTCTTCAGGTGATGTAGCAGGATTCTATTGCACTTGTATGCATGTCTTTGATTCGGTTGACGACTAGCTGATGAACATGACTACCACCTGACTTTTAGCGACAGGCCTACTTGCTGCATACGACACTAACTTTTACTCTCTCCTTGAAAATACAATTTTTGGTTGTGTAGAGAAGATTTTCACATTAAAATTACTCAACCATTTTTTGCCTGACATAGACGTGCCACTAACTTGCCTTTCCGCGTCCAGGATGTTATCAACAACAAAAGCATCACCTTCGATTGGGACTTCAAACTCTCTCTTATGACTGACTTGGTTCGGGTGAGTTGATGCCACCTCAACTCATTCAAGCCAAACTCTTGGTATGTTTTAAAGACTGTCTTCAACATTACCTTTCAAGGGGATGGAGTATCTGCACAGCACAAGCCTCAAAGCTCACGGAAGACTGAAATCGACCAATTGTGTTGTCAGTTCCCGATACGCCTTACGAATAACCGACTATGGCATCCAAAAAACCTACAACTTAGTAGACAGTTGTCCTTCAGACAAACCAGAAGGTTAGGTGCATGTGCCAGACTTTGCGATTTTATTTCATGTATAGACAAGTTGTGGACAGCACCGGAGCTTCTACGTGATGAGACAGCGGATTTGCATGGAACTAAGCCGGGCGATGTCTATGCGTTTGCCATAATAATGCACGAGGTATTCTATCAGACGATTCCATACGGACCGGGAGAAACACCAGTGGAGGAACTTCTGCAACGCGTTATGGGCAAAGAACGACCTCCATTCCGCCCACAGGTAATTGGCGCGGGCCACTGCAGAACGCATCCATGCCGAATGGGCGGTGTTGTGCAGAGAACAAAGACTGAGTTAGTCACTGCCATCACTAGGAGTTGTCGGACGAAGTTGGTAAAGGCAACCACAAAGTGTAACACTGTGATGAACACGCAGACTAGTGCTACAAAGTTCTGAGACCCGCTGTGCTTAGGATCAGAAATGAGTTTGTCACGCCTCCTTACGAGACCCCATTTAAGCAATATCTTTGATACCAACTCATTTACTGCCAAAGTGTTCACTTTCCTCCCTTCTTTCTACTTCAGTTGCTTGAGGCAGGCGTCCCACAGGCTTATAGAAACATTCTTCAACGAGCTTGGTCGGAGAATCCTGAACTTCGACCAACATTTAAGGAGCTGAACGAAGAGATTGAACGCATGGCCAGTGGAAAGTAGGTTATACTACTGTTCAGCATTATTTTCTCTCGATTTTGCAAGAAAAACAAACATTGTGGAGCACATGTTCAAAATGATGGAGAACTACTCGAGTAGGTTGGAAGAGGAGGTGAAACTTCGAACGGATGAATTGGAAAAGGAGAAGAGGAAAAAGGAGCTGCTCATTTGTCGTTTGCTGCCTCCGTGAGTACCTTCTCGCATGATACTTAAGTTGCAGCAATGACTGCTAAAAGTGATTTTACCACTTTGCGCTGACGAACAACCATGCGTCTAAATATCCATCGAAGTCAGGTGGATGAATGAGGTTGAGTTGGAATTGTAGAGTTGTCGCGGAAGCGTTGAAAGCGGGCGTCGCAGTGGCACCTGAGACCTACAATGAGGTGTCTATCTACATAAGCGACATCATTGGCTTCACAACCATTTCAGCAATGTCCACACCTCTGCAAGTTGTTGACTTTCTCAATGACTTGTACACCATGTTCGACAGGATAATTGCACACTACGACGTCTACAAGGTGAGTTTCTTTGCAGACACCTAAATACGCCTTTAATCAAAAAGTCCGACATCTGATTGAACATGTGGTAACTATAACGAGTGCTTCGCTTCCCTTGCCTGTCTCACTACAAGGTAATCCAAAGTATTTCACTGAATACGGACGTCAGACTAGAAGGAAACCGTCCATCCGCCTTGATCGATCGGACGTAGTAGTCAGGTGTAGCAGAAATATAAGTTATTGCTGTCGCATCATCTGAGTGGCCTTTGCATCTCTCTTACACATTTGGAGACATGCGTCAATCGAAGGGGTCGGAAGTGAGCACCATTTTAGGCAAGTGCCGTGCATTGTAGGTGGAAACAATAGGAGACGCCTACATGGTGACTTCGGGATTGCCAGTTCGTAATGGACGGAGACACGCAGCGGAGGTTGCCACAATGTCCCTTGACCTGCTTAGCTCATGTGGCACTTTTACCATCAAGCACCTTCCTCAGATACCCTTGAGACTACGCATCGGTCTTCATAGTGGTGAGTGGAATGCATCCACAGCCTCCTTCCTTGCCTATGTCGTCCATGGTAAGTAGAGGGCAGTCGGATTCCGTTTTCAACAACTCTATGACGTATTCAATCTGGTCATTTCGAGCTGCCTTTGTGCCGTTCTCCATGTCGTGTCACCATCGTCACACACGTGTGCTATGTGACAACACCTTGCATGGAACTTCTTTCGGTGTCAGCTGACTTGTTATTCTTACCCACACGTGTTTGCATACCGACTGGAAGTGTCGACCAAAGTACTTTCAAATGCCTCAAATAATACCTTTAAAAGTAGACTAAATTAGCTTCCACCTGGCCATACAACTTCAAAACACAATAGTCGTTGTAAGAAGTGGAAGAAACGATGCATTGCTCACTTGCAGGACCTTGTGTTGCCGGTGTTGTTGGGCTTACGATGCCTCGGTACTGTCTCTTTGGTGATACTGTTAATCGAGCACTAAAAATGGAGTCCTCTGGAGCCGGTATGTAAAACCTTCTTCGCTTTCACCCCTTATCTCCTCCTCCTTACGCTCTTTACTTTCTTATGATTCCCATGCAAAGGCTTCTTACTTCAGCCTTTAGAATACACATCAGCGAGGAGATAAAGACGATATTGGACGAAATCGGCGGGTATCACTTTGAGTACTGTGGTTCACTTCAATTTGGAGGTGGAGTGGCCACAACAAGTTACTGGCTCACCAGCAGTGACCATTTTCACAAGCCCCTGCCTCAACCTCCGCCCATCCCTATGTAAGTGTTATTACCTACAATGCCACAAGTGGTACCAACTTCTCTCTTTTGGTTCCATTTGCTTGTGTTACACTTCCGCTATGTACAATGACGGTGGTCAGAGGCGTAACAAATGTATTGTAGCTAAAAGTAAAGAAAATTTGGTGAATGAGGAGCGCAATAGTTTTGACAAGCATTCGCTGGTATAACCGATGGCCTGCCTTAGTGTTGCGCAAACGGCCACAATGCGTCCGCAATAGAAAGAGCAGCCGTAGCAGGAAATGTTAAAATGTAACACTTTTTTAAAGCCCTTGCCAACATCTATGGGATTATAGTGACCGGCAAGATGGTAAAAAGCTACCACCATGTCACACTTCAACCAATTTATCTTTAACTACAAGCATTTGTGCACTTCTTTCTCTTTTGTTTTGCAGAGGAGAGTGTCACGGGTGAGTTGTACAGCAGACGTTATCTCTCCGTTTCCCCACACTTTGTCACTCGGCCCACTGGCTCAACACACACCAATTGTTTGGGCGAATCTCTGTGGCAAAATTTTTCTCCAACGCCCAACAAGGCTCCACCACTTCGTCTCACACATTCTGTGGCAGCCAAATGCCTTGTCATTAAGTTTGTATGGATCGAGTTGAGGGCGATTTTTTAAAAAAGCGAGGAAGCAACTTTTCTAAGCAGTAAATAATGTGTTGCAAGATAATTTGCTCATGTCAATCTGCATTAGATTGCTCTCATTCATATTCGCAGTCTGCCACGCTTACCTTAAGGTATCGTAAAAGTTCGATGCGAATAGAAAGAGGTCATATGCACCGTGGAAAAAGAAAAAAAGCAGTCACAAGTGCTGCTTACTTTAGTTGTGACCACCAGATCTGTTAATGTTGATTCTTTTCACTGAAGTGGATTGCTGTCACTCGTCCTCACTGCAGCATCTGCCTTCTAGCCTTGCCTCTGTCTATCCTGAGGGGACTCGATGGCTCCATGCACTCAGCCCTCACCAGAATAACAACAGCGACCCTCAAACTGCCCTTCATTGTCGAGCCGAGCAATAGCAAGGCGTTGTCAACAGTCGTCGTCGTTGTGAGGAACAAGTAGCTCTCCTACTAGTCAAACCGTGCTCCCTTAAACCACATGCACCACCAAAGGCAGTTAAAATTGATATTACAGCAGTTTATGCTTCTTCCTAGCCCGTGTTAGGCATCCTAAAACTCTGCATTATTACTCCCTTTGATTTACCTTTTTGCTTTGCCTTTAAAACAATTTTACATTGAGACAATCAAGGTGGCCTGCATTAGTTCTTCGCTAGCAGCCCTTTCGCCTTCCTACAGCCCCACTTTAACACTAACGCATGATTTGTCACTACTAACACACAAACAACACTTAAATTTCATGCACAAACGGTCGAACAGTGATAAACTCAACAGCCATTTTAATATAACACAAGCCGCAGTCATTTCCATTGCAGGTGCTATTCATGACAGTTTCTGTACCACTTAAATGAGCATTCCTCGTGTCAAGTAGTGGCAAGATACATCGTCTTCATTCTTCCAAACGTAAGCGCGAGCACAAATATGTCAACTGCAGTGACATTTATTGCGACCATGTGATGTTGGCATGAGAGAGGCGGTCTGGTGCGCCGCGTCCGCAGAATGTGTCCAACAAGACCAGTTATTGTGGGAAAAGTGCAACGTCAGACCTGCTACTGTTTTACTCACAGCCAAGTGACTCACTCGTTGAAGATCAGCACTTTTCCACAGGCTCAAAGAGATTAGCTGTAGTTCAAAATTAAACAATCTCTTTGAATTAACCGCCAACATTCAGTAGGTTCGAACACAGTCAAGCGAACCTGTCATCCTCCTTTTAATAATCTCACCAATGGAAAACCCTTGACAACAGCTTAACCGTCAAAAAGACTGGCTACAATGGGAGTTGTTGCTGAAAGCATCTCCACCTACGCACTATTGTGGCTGACAAGGCGATGCAATGGCATTTGATTAAAGCGAGTACCAGTGCTGACATTTCAATTTCGGTCGAGCAAGTTGCATTTGAATAGATCTGATCATCAGAGCTGATGGAGAACATAGGCATACTTATCGCATACGGGGACGAAGACCGAAAAACGACTTCCTACATTGCACGGACTCTCTTAAATTAACCTTGTTGCACTCTTCAACCTCCTCCATGCAAAAAGTTAAAACTGGTAGCCATCTTGTTTGATAGGATTAATGTGAATGTGAACAGAGAAGAAACCCTGCGTCACCTATTAGTGTTATTATAGTCCAACGTGGAGTTGACGTTGAGGTGTGGAATGGCATCACTTCTGCTAGCTGCATCATTTTCGCTTAATCTTCAATCACAGATTCGCATTTCCTATGCCGATCAGAATAGCCTCCTTTCGAGAAGAGCTTTACCACATTGAAGCAAAAGTACTGCACACTGTTTATTTCGAAGTGTACATTTATCAAAGATGTTGACACATCTCGAAGAGCATAATAGTGTAGCAAATGCAACATGCATTTGAAGAGGGTATATGGCGGGCAGGAGGGATACCAACATGTACTCCAATGGGAGAGGCAAAGTAGATTTGCGTAATACCAAAGTTTGGGTAAAAGACGAAGATCGAGTAGTCGTACGTTAGATACGTTGGTGTGCATAAGTAGTTGTCTTTGATAGCGGCATCGAACAACTTTTCTGCAAGAGCCATGTCCTGGCAGTGAAAGTGGACTTTTGATCAGAGGTGCCAAGTGGAGTGGAACGTCTGTATTACTAGTGACCGATCGAATGCTAGACAGTGGATTGCATGTTTCGAGGTGGTTGCCTTCTCCTCACACTTCTAGTTCCCGACTGCAGTGGCGCTAACATTCCTACCTTGGACGACCGTCCCTTTTGTCATATATGACCTCCACTCCTTCCCCACCTTCTTCTTCGACAACGAGGCTATACAGGCTCTAAAGCCACCCCTGTTAGCCCTCGCAATGTCCTCATGGGTGGTTTCTTAGTCCTCGGAGTTCCTATCATGGGACTCGCATTGTTAATAGTCCTATAAGGCAACTGAACTATCATTGAAATACGATGTAGATCAAAATCTAACGGTACTCTGACATTCAAAGCCGACTATTCTCTTCTTGAATAAGTGCGAAGCCTTCTTTGGCATTTGCGCTGACCTCCAAGTCTAATCAGACATGCCTCGATTTTAGTGAGTGGTCGTTTCTCTTTCAGCCTATACTACCGACATTGATTGTCCGTGAGAAAATGTACCTCACCGAGACCACTCACTTCCCACAATTTTATCGCTTACTAATTCCGCGGCCTTACACTAATTGTAGAAGACAGGGTACGGAAATCGTTGAGCATAGCAAAGAGGAAACACAGCCGCAACAATCCGCCAGACAGTAAAATTGGCCCACCAACTAATGTGGTTTGGGGAATGAGAACCAGCCTAGATTTCGGTGTCGTGTTAGGAGAAAAGGGCATTGCTTTGCAACTCAATGCCATTACAGCTCCTCGAAAAGGACTGATCAACACTGACCGTGGGTTGATGTGATGCTCGCAAATATGTCTGCCAAAGACTGAAAGGCAGGTTGTGAACCTCTTATAAGCTAAACCGAATGCTGAACTACTTCCTGCTAATCGGTTTCGGCGCAGTGCTTAGTTTTCATCACGACGAAGCCTTTCTCCACCAAAGTCAGAGCATTCGTTTCAGTGTTTGCCATTTTGCTTGCGAAGGAAAAGATAATAAACTGATTGTAAAGGCAGTTCATCTGGTTCACATCACGCCAGCGGGGATGAATCAGGCGCTTGTACCATTCCTCAAACTACCTCCTCGCATATCTATCATTTAGGGAGCATTGCACCCAAGCAGGTATTCACGGAATCGCTTCACGTAGTTGTCGATGGGAAAGGCCTACCCAAAGAATCTAGTTACAATCAAGAGGAAAATGCTGTTCGTTTTGCGAAAATGGTGTCAGTGAGCTCAAGTGAAAGGGTAATTTGATGGCAAGGCGTCGAAATGAAGGGAGCTTGAGATTCGCAAAGCATAGTTGATAAAGATGCTGATTGTAAAGAAAGTGAGAATAAACCTTTGCATGCTGGCTTTAGTCGAAAGCTGGAGGAGTATAGCCAGAGAACTTCTTTCTTTTAAAGCAAAGACTTAAGGAGTCTTATTACAGACGGCAAAACGCCAAAGCATACGTTGGTCCTTTCCTGTGAGTTGTTGCTCACATGTGGAGAGTGGATTTAGTTTAAGGTGGGTTTCGTGTCACCAAGTGTAGTTGGTAAATGGTTTAACAGAGTTGGAGGCGTTGTGTCGTGATTTGTTAATTTTTCGGCATAAGGAAAGGAGTTGGTATGGTTTGCTCGAGTTGCATGGCACAGGAGTAGCATCTTCTCTACTCAGCACAGTCGTTGAGGCGTGCAGTGTGTACAATTTCATGGTGTGTTTGGAGCGAATGCGAGTGAAGAGACAGAAAATGGTGGTGTCACTGGCATGGGATTGTGCGCGAAGGTGAGGAGTGGAGTAGTCGCTGGCTCGGTGATATCAAAGGTAGTAAGTGATGGAGTCGTGCAGGGTCGCTTGGGTTTGGCATGTGTAAAGAAGATGTTGCAGTGGTTTTGTTGCCTGACAGGAATTAGTGGGGAAAATGCGAACCGAAACTGCTAAAAAGATATTGCGTTTGGTGTGTGGAGTTGTTTGCAAATGGGGAAGGTGTGGAATAGTGGAGGTGGAAAATAGCAGTTTTGATGTGGAGGCTTCTGTGCCTGTGTTGTGCGCTTTGGCATAGATGCGATAGGGATAGCGTTCGACTCGGTGCATAAGGGTGAGTGCGAGAGGAGAAATATTTTAAGGGGCGTTAATTAGCGTTGAGACTGTGCTGATGCATCGAAACCGAATTACAAGACGGTGCAGCGCAGCACGGTCTTAACTACCAGTGCAAGATGAAGAGTGAGCACAAGACGTATCAACGACGTACTAGGGGAATGTGAGTTTGGGCTCTACTTGCACAGACCTTCGTAGTTCTCAGAGGTGCCTAGGGAAATGAGGGAGATCGACCTTGTGGGCTTAGCGTAAAAGGTGAAAATGAGGCGATGGGAGGTTCAGGTGGGTGATTTGCAGCCCTCTTGGCGGCTCCTTTCTAAGGTACCAAGTAATAGGCTAGACGTGGAAGCGAATGTATTTGAAAGCTTCTGAGCGGAAATGTAAAGTGTGATTGTTAGGTCGGCGCACGGTCAGATTTTGGTTTCTTCCCAGCGTTGATGTTTTGCCACGATGATTACAGATTTTTACCTTAATAATCGTTCCTTAGGTGCTTAATGTGGAGTTGATGAGAACCCACGGCCGCTCCATTGTGTTCGCCATCGTATCATCAACCCATATTTTTTGGGTAAGACTTTGACATTTCACACAGTAATCCTCCTTACTTCACTGCTACTTTGCTTTAAATATGGGTCGCATGTGTACAATTGTAAAGTCAGTAAGTAGGAGCTAATTGTTAGACCTAGACTCGTCCTTGCCTCCTTCTTTGTGTGTATATTCCACCGATTCCTCCATTTAAGTGATGCCTTTCACCCACCAGTTGTTGGTTAGTGCAAAAGTATTTGAGGGCCTTGCTAAGTGGTGGGTGGAAGCTGTGGTGGAAATGTTGAGAACTTATTATTTGTGATGGCGGTTGTTGTGAAAAAGGGAACATAAAAGCTGATGCCATCGCAACTGCTACCACTGCAACCGTGTAAAGTGCTGAAGGGACATGGCGAATTCTGATGCATTAGCAGTGGACGGTTTCGAATAGCGGGTTGATATTATGGGTTTGAGTCAAATGCTTGACTTTGTCAGTAGATAAATATGGCGTTGGTGTGGTGGAAGGTGTTCATTTAATGGTGACGTGTGGAAGTAGGTGTGTGTGCTTGTTGGCAGTTGACAGATCACCAACAGCAGAGGATATGTATGGATGCTGGA